GTTTGATTGTATCAACTATGGTCAAAATGATGAAGTTGGGGAGAAAACATAATACATCACCTTGAAAATATTTGAGCTAACAAAAAGAAAAATGAAAAGAAAAGCTCATGGTGGTGTGTTATCAAAAAAAAATTGAAAATAAAGATTGTTGAATAAAAGGAAATGCTCTCTTAGAATAGGCAATCTTTAATTGAGTCTTGTGATCATGTCCTTTCTCTTTAACCAGAACCATATTACAACCCTTAAAAGACCTCTTGATTCTCAAGATTTTTCATAATTTAGTGTGTGTTGTGATGAACGCATGATTCGAGTTGATGTTGATTTAATTGTTCGAATGAGTGTAAGAAAAACCTTATGATTATTCATCATCACTATGATGTGTGTGTAGTTTTGATTCAATTTTGACATGTATTACTTGGAATTTCTTGGTATAATTTTTGTAGCCAACCATTATTTTTATTCATGTTTTGTCTAATATTGAAAGTAGGTGTATCATAAAAGTGTTGTATGCTTTTGAACCATTTGAATATCATCCTCTAACACTTGTTTCATTCCTTGCCTTCATAATTTGGTTTGCTTTAACGAATGACTTTTGTTTAGGGACAAACAAAATGATAAGTTGGGGAGAGTTGTTAGGGACCAATTGGTACTAATTTTTATATATTTTATCGGCCCCTTTTATAAATTTCTTAGTAAAATCACACAAGTTTTTATCACAATTTAGTAAACATTCAATTTAAGTTATTTTATTTTGTTTCGAATAGATATTTCACTATTTCTCTAGTTTTTGTAGAATATAGGTCAAGAAAAGAATGATCTCCAGAGTAACTCTTGAAGATAAAAGTTTGGGAAAGGAATTGCTGAGGGAACACGAAGCAAAGCAAGGAATTCTCAAGCTAGGCAGTTCGCGCCGCGAACTGGGCGAAATCGGCCACTTGCAAATTAATGACGCATGTCATGTCTTGGAAGAAAAACCACCTTTTTTGTAGGGTGGCGCCCCATAGCCTATTAAATGCACATTTTCCTTGCATGTAAGACATAATCATTCCACCCTTGAGTCTTAGTATCTCTTAGGTTTGTAAGAGATTTTAGAAAGATTTTAGAGGAGATTTTCTTGTCTTGGAGAGAAGTTTTTTCATGCAAGAGGAGATTATTGAAGAATTTGCTGAGTATTCTATGAAGATGATGAGTAGCTAAACTTCTTCTTGTCAAGCTTGAGGTAGTAGTTATCCTATATTGTTTATGTAATATTGCTATCCTTGCATGTAACAAACTACATTTTGTATAAGGAATTATATTTTCTCTTTACATTAAAAAATCAGGATTGAACTATTGTTGAGAAAGATAGTTTAATTCTTGACCTAAGATATTTTTCCAAGTAGAGAATAAATTGTAGAGATAGATTTATTCATTACTTTTCTATTTGTGTTAAACATTCAAGATTATTATATCAATAGTTAGATGGAGAGATCGTCTAAGGATTTATATAATAATTGTCACAATCTTATTTAGACATAAATATTATTGAGAGGACACTTGAATATTATCAATGGAGTTTGAATGCATGCATGAGATATTAAGAACACATAAAGAACGAAGATAATGAAACTCAATCTTGACAAGGCTTCTAAACTTCAATCTAAAACCATTTTTATTGTCCTATTTTTCTTATAAGTAAAAAGAACAATTTATTCATCAACAAGCAATTTGAATACTTTTGAACTTACAACAATCGAAATTATAGAACGGAGGTAATAACACCAATCTCTGTGGATACGATATTAAAAAATATTTGCCGGAAATATACTTTTCAACATCTAGGTTGAAGGACCTATGCATGACCTGTTACACTCTGGTCAACCATGAGATGCTTAATGCATTCGTAGAAATATGGCATTTTGAGATGTCTTCTTTTCATCTCCTACGTGGTGAGATGTCTATCACTGGACGATGTCTCGTGTTTGTTACATCTTTGGATCTGGGGGAGATTCCTCGATCATGGTAGGATGACCAAAGACGAGGCAGTCGAGATGATGGTAGAGCATCTGGAGGTTGATCCCGAGAAGGCGGTGGTACAGGTGGATAGTGCCAGGGGTGCTCATGCTAGATTTGAGTTTCTGAAAAAGAGATATGATTATGAGATCATTGTTGGAGAGGTGGTTGATGACAATGTTGAGCAGGTGGTGATACACATGGCTCGTGCTTTGAGGGCATATTTTATTTTTTTGGTTGACACTTGCATTTTTTGGACACGGGTGCCACCTATACTGGCGTTGCATACCTCTGGTATTTCTTGGATCTCACTCGGATCCATGAGTACAACTAAAGGCGACTTTCATGGCCTATTTGTATTCAAAGTTGAGAGATGGATGTCGGTGGAGGACAAAGCAAGTCACAGGAAGCACGACACTATTGGTGGTAATAATTTTTTATCCTTGAATGTTTTTTTTAATTTTTTTAATTTCATATTTGTGAAACCATTGCCCAAAAATCTTGATCTCTAAATGCTTTTTATTTTTATTTTCATTTCAAGTTTGGATCCTCTAACACTTCCCTCGCATCATTAGTTAGGTGAGTGTGGATGAGTACATTTAGGACATGCCTCGTGCATGTGCTTTTATCTCACTTAGAGGGAACTAGACGATTGAGCCTTTCAGAGTCTACCTTGATTGTTTGGTTATTAACGACATCCACTTCAACAGATACGTGGATTACCATCAGACGCGACCATTTGATGACATATCTTTATACTCCGGATGGCTCGCTTGCGGATCACGTATCACTACTCCTCATCTGCCCGAGCGTATTATGCGACAGTTCGGGTACACCCAGACCACCCTTAGACACCATGTTGTCTCTGCTTCTCATATCTTGTCTTATAGACATATAGAGGAGATAATTGTTGATTATGAGAGTCACCTAGTACCGGAGGAGGCTCGGGCTGCCATAGCGCCAATTGATTGGAGCTACGTCAACGGATACATTATGTGGTTCTTCAGGGTCTCACATTTGTATATGGTGCAGATTGCTCCAGGAGATTCGCCGAGACCAATTCATCAGGAGATTCTATAGGAGCAGCAGGCTCAACTTGATTGTATTAAGGATGTCTTGCCTCAATGTCGTCGCATAGTGGAGATTGCGCGAGCAGGCATTGATGACGGTATCTTCCCTAAAGGGTTTGTTGTCAGGAGAGTCCTTGATGTCATTGTGGTGGAGGCACATGGAGCACTGTTGTACCGTGGACATCGCCGGAGGACGGGGTGGTTGATGGCAGAGGAGGCAAATGAGGTATATGAGAGATTGTCAGGCACGCCCAGTAGTTGTCTGTTATTATTTTGATGTTGTATTATAGTTTGTACTTTATTTCTGACATTGTTACTATATTTTTTATCTCATGTTGTACGACATTTTACTATTGTATTGTTATATTATTTTCGACACGCGCAATATTAGTCTTTTATTAATTTGTACGTCTGTTTTTTCACCTGAAAACAAATACAGAGCTAATTATAAATAAAAAAAACTTGTTATGATACACTTCAGAGATGTATCTTCGGGATATTTTAGTAGATGCATCTCCGAAATAATTAAAATATAAATTGGTTATGGATGACATGTTTTGAATGCTTAAAGTTTAAAATTGTTCTAGAAATATATCTCCGAAATATGTTAACGTTTACTCAGAAATATGGTGCGTCCGAAGATGTATCTTTAGAATCAGGGGGCATATGTGAAAATTCACATGGTATATAAGAAACATCTAGGATGAAAAAAGAAATTCTCTAATTCATTCCAACAACCCTTTTTTTTCTTTAGGTCTTTGTTCTTTCCCCCTAATACTATAATGGGTGTAACTTGTGCTCATTATATTTCATCAGATCCATCTCTATAAAATTGTAATCTTTTTCGCTACATTGTCTGGGTTGACTTTGTGTCCTAACTTGAATCTCTTCGATTGTTGATGAAGTTGTAAGCCCGTTAATGTCTAGCCGCTTATGAATATACATGCATTGTGGCTATCTTACCAATTTTCAAATGAAAAATGTATCGTTAGAAAATTAGGTGATCATTAGCCTCAAGAACATCAAATCATGGTCTTACAATATGATATTGTACGTTGATGTTCTTTTGACTATCTATAATCTCATCTTGATTGAATTTGATTTGATATTTACTACAAAATTCATGATAAATATTATGAATCTTATAATCTCGATGATCTTTCACCGAGATTCCTACCAAATCGTCATTGTAAAAATAAGATTGAAGATATATTTGGGAGCCCAACAACTTGTAAAACTCCTCCAATTATAAATAAGTTTATTTGGTTTGTGAAGCTCCTTTTAATGTTGTTACTTGTCATTGTCATTTCAACCTGGTCTATTATTCTTATGGAAACCTTCTTAGAAAATGTAATAGTTGCTAATACATTTTTAACCTTTCTCAAAGTAGAATATAGATTTTGCATGGTGTTACTGCCTTCTTTTCTTCTTATTATCACTAAAAAAATTAATAAAAAAATATAAATATTTTTAATATTTTATAAAAAAATGACTTTATGTAAAATGTTAAATAAATATTTATCATTAACGTATTTTTAATTATTAAAATATTATAAAAACATAGATTATAGCTGAATAATTTATCAAAGTCCTCAAAAACTCTTGAAACCACAATCTTAATATAGTTTTTTAATTCTTCAAAAAAAATTATATTTGAATTAAAAATAAAATATTCAAAACTCTATCCACTCTTTCCTTTCCCATCAAACTAAAAAAAACACCTAGAAAAACTTATATGTGGTAGAGTTTTGTTTTATTTTCTTTTTGAATATATAAATAAATAAAAAAGTAAAGTAGAAAACAGAAATTAAAAATATATATATTAATTATTTGTGTGAACCATAGAATATAGATATGCAATTAAGTTAACATTTTAGAGGATAAAAATTGTTGTTGATATTTTTCTTGAAAATTTAAATTTGTCTCAAACATTTAGCAATGAACGTTATGATTACGAGTTCCATTATTAGGGTTCCTCTTCTTCCCCCTTTATCATTTCCGAGAACTTTGTTGAAATTGAAATGCCGCAGCAAGAACTCAGACGAGAACGATTTCAAAGACGCACTTTCCGGCATGATGAGCGACCAAGTTGAACAACTCTTGAGCAGACAAGAGAATAAGGGTTTGATGGATAATTTACAGAAAGCTTCACAGAGAGTTGAGATTGCCAAGACACAACTTGCTTTGATCGAAAAACAAGAACTTGCGCTCAAACAGTTCAAGGATTACACTCAACAGCTTCAAGGAAATGCTTCTCAGGTAGTTTCCATCATTCAATTAACCTAGATTGGTTGCAAAATAGTGATCAATTATTAAAACTTCTAAACAATTCTATTTGAAATTGTTTGAATTGGAAGATTGCAGAAAGTCAGAGAGAAATTTCAGAGGCAAAAGCCATGCTTGAGGAAGCAGAACGCTCTCTGTTGCTAAATGTTGGAGGTGCTGAAGAAGGAAGTGGGGAAATTGATCGAGATGAAGAGAGACGGGAGTCTGTTAAAGTAGCGTCTGTCTCTGCTCTTGTTGGCACTTTGTCTAGCCTCCCCATATGTTTCGTTCAGGCAACCGGTACAACTCAGTTGCTTCTCTCTTTGGCAATCAATTTCATATGTTGTGCATTGTTTGGAGTCACTTTTCGATATGCTGTAAGGAGAAACTTGGATGATTTTCAGCTTAAGACTGGGGTTGCAGCAGCTTTTGGCGTTGTTAAAGGTAACCCATTCGACTCACCGTGATATAGTATTAAATAAGCTGAAATTTTACTTTAGATCAAATTGCATGTTCTTTTCTTTTGTGGTTGAATGCTTTGTTGTAATGTAATACTGAAATGAAATCATCATGCAGGTCTTGCAATCCTCAGTGCTGGACCATTTCTTGAACTCAACTTCGAAAGCTTATTATCGTATGCTTGGGATGGAACAATTTATGTGTCTGAGAATGTTATCATTTTCCTTTCTGCTGCTATTAGTCTAGATTATTGTTTAAAGACAAGACTTTTGAGCCCTTTTCCAATTGATAGAACAGGTTAGTGGCAATTAGAATTAATTTTCCAATTATTATAGACGAAATGTATATTGATAAATTTGTTGCTTTCATTTCAAATTTTCAAGTTAGTGCCTTATACACCAGAGAAATGATAAACATTGAAGAGGTTTCTCACCGCACAAAAAAGTTGCATACCGTTCTATTTTTTTTAAAACAAGTAACATGTTAAGATTATAAGTGTTTGAAAAGGGATGCTATGTTGCCTGAGATTGAATAATGGGTAATGCCTGAGCTGAACTTTCATGAGGGGGATGAATATATTTTCATGGGATTTCAACAAGTAGAACTCTAGCCTTAGCAAAGTATTTGGAGAGAATAGAAGAGAGGAGGAATGTTGTTTTCATACTTTTGACTTTGAGTTATATGCAACCTGAAAATAGTTGCAATAGCTTGATAGCAATTAAAATTGAACTGTCACTTGTTCTCAAATTATTTCATGCTGGAAATGATAGTGTGAGAGGAATCGGTGTGTGAAATTTCTCTCAGAACTGGTTCATTGACAATGAATGGGAGTATACCGGAGTAAGTATGTGCTCTGATTAGTCGAAGCCTCTGTCAGACTGTCAGCAGGAGAGATAAGCATTGCTAAATGGACTCCTCACCTTCTTTCTTCTTAAATGATAGTGTGATGTTTCCTTCATTTATTGCCCTCACTTTGTAAAAGGTTCTATTTTGAATCCAATAATGTTGTTAGGGGCCACCATTTGAAGAAATTTCATAATTTATATTACTATTTATGACATTTTTGGGGTTATGTACTTCCTCACTTATGGTCCTCTTTTGGGATGCTACTGAAATATGTCTAAATAGACTTATCCAATCTTGGACCAGTTATTGTGGAGACTTATCCAATCTTGGACCAGTTATTGTGGAGACACTTCTTTGTGTGCTGCACGGATTCTAGTACTAGTTAATTAATAAACACAATAAGCATGAACGTTTTCTTTACTTTAGCACAATAGTGGCTTTCATGTGCTGCTTAATAAGATCAGCTTATGTTTTCATGTTGAATTATGATTCAATGAAAGTTTTGTTCCACCTTGTTCATATCTTTTGAAGAAAATTGATGTCCTCAAAGTCAAACTACCTTTTTCTGTGAGTGTGCCTTGCAGCAAATTAATTCCGGCATCATTCACACTCCTAGTTCATTAGGGGGTGAAGATTTCAGTTCTAGGTTAATTTGTACACCTACAAAATGGAAGCTTGAGTCTGACTTTTATTCTGGCCAAGAATGTTGCTTGGCTAGGAAGGTCTAAATGGATACTGATATTGAAGTTATTGAAGTTGAAGTCATGAATATTATTGTATTTTTTAAGGGACCTTTTCCATTTAGTATTTTTCAAATTTTAATCGCCGCACTAGGGTAGGTTTTGTTCTTCTGTTCAGTATGTTTGGATGCTCTTTGTGTACAAGCTTCTAAACTTGAATATATTGTTTTCAATTTAAGTTATCAACGGGTATATATATCTGTTTAGGCATTGTAATTTGTGATCTGACTGTTGGGAAAATGTATGCTTTACATAATTTTGGAATCTCAACTGTTATGTACAAAGACTTATTGAGGATAGTCAAATGATACAAATTTCTTTCCATCTATTTCAATCAGAGTAAATAATGTGTAATTTTATTAATTAGAATAGAGTTAACCTGCACAAATCCAAATAAGAGAGAAACACTTTGAGTGATAATGAAAACCATATGATGATTCTGTTTTATCTGCCACTACTCTGTTCCGGATAACATATTACTCTTGATCTTTAGCTCCACTAGAAACATAAGAGTGAGGTTGAAGAAAAAGATATTACCTATCATAGGGGGAGATAACCACCATAAAAGTGGAAGAAGAAGAAAACCACCATGAAGGTGGGATGTTGCCACCATAAAATCTTAGAGATTTGGGGGAAGGTTTTCTAGAGAGAAGAGAAAGCATCTTGTAGATTTTGTTTTAGTCTCTTAGAATTAGATTTTGTCCTAACTCATATACGAAATCATTTTGTAGGATGAGAATTGCATCCACTTATAAAATATAATGAGACCACACCCTTTTCAATGTGAGACTCTTCAACACCCCCTTTACATTTTGTAGGATGAGAATTGCATTAACTTATAAAATATAATGAGACCACACCTTTTTCAATGTGAGACTCTCTTCAACACCCCTTTTACGGAAATGATTGTACATTTGTAGCATGGAATAAATGGTGGGAGGCATGATAACAAGTGACCTAACAGACCATGGATAAGATGTCATGCCATCCTAGAAGTAGAGTTTGACGCAACCCATCCCTGCAAACCATTCTCGTATGATGGAAATTACCCATACTTATAAATATATATTGAAACCATATCCTTTTCAATGTGGACTCTTCAACACAAACCATATAGAGCATTCTTCAATTTACACACTTCTCTTTGATTATGAGAAACACATGGCAAATGTACCATATAAAATATCACGTGAAGATATCCATTTAGAAAAGCTTTTTTAACATCATTTTGAGAAATATGCCACTGACAAACAAATGCAACTGCAAAAATATTTTTCTTTAAGACAATTCCAAAAATATTTTAAGTCCCATAAAGAAAATCAGAGATTTTAAAAAGCGTGGAAGTAAAACACAACAACAAGAGTGTTTTGAAACATCTCAATAAATTAAAGCAAGTAAAATAATACAAGATATTACTAAGGGCTTGATTGCTTCAAATGCAAGTCAATCACAAGACAACTAAAGATATTTTAAACAAAGCAATTTAAGAACTCTTCACAATCAAGCCATAATTGCATTCATAATACTTATATAAGAATGAAACACCACAAACCTAAACTTATACAAGAAATCTCTATAAGCAAAGTCTATCTAATTTAAGAACTCTTCACAATCAAGCCATAATTGCATTCATAATACTTATATAAGATTGAAACACCACAAACCTAAACTTATACAAGAAATCTCTATAAGCAAAGTCTATCTTATGTAGCATATAATCAATGCAATTGTGCAATATATACAATAACAATATTAATGGATGCTAGTAAAATATAGGAATTAAGAGAAGAAGAAAAAATACACAAAGATATATAGTGGCTTGACATTTACTTTCGCTTTTCCTACTTCACTCTTCAATGCTAATTAATCATTGAAAAATAATCATGATCTTCTACTATTTTGATAAGTTTGATACAAGCATTTTGGTTATAACGAATTGTCACACGACAAGTCCCTCTGTTGATACAGACACTCAAATTACTAACAAAAACAAGATCCCTCTAGATCCTAATCCAATAACCTTGATGTCCATAATAACCTACTCCAAATATTCGTATGTGGCGATATACCAATTTATTGTCCGAGTGATTGTCATTTACTGAGCATATATTAGACAACTCTCAACTTTGTCTGCGAGCAATCTTTCTCCAACGCCACCAAAGAAGGACAACTTCCACTTCGCCTTCCAGACCGCTAATACTACTTGATCTCGCCAAAGTATTCCTTGGAGTATATTGAAAAACTCCTCTCTTGATCAATAACAAATAAGACCAAAATGCATTCAAGGAATGATACCTACATCTATTACAAATAGCAAACCTCACACAAAAATATTAGATACCCTAATGTACCACTAATCTCCTCCCATCACTCAATCTTTAGAGATGAAGGTCGTCGACAATAGAATAAACTAAGGATGAAAATGATTAGCAGTGCCAAAATATTTCACAAACCAATCTAAAAACATAAGGTGTTAGTCAAGGAATTGAATGAATGTGAATGAATAACACACAGACACACAAAAGATTCTCTCAAATTTTTGGGTAAACGAATCTTAGTTCTTAATTGTTATCATGAGTTTGATCAATTATGATGAACACACAAGATTAATCAACTCACTCTCTATAATTCACAAACAACAACAACAACAAAATTGCACAAGAATAATGTATAACAAAAAGAAGTGAATCTGATATGGATTACACTCAAGAGATTATTCTAGAGAAAAAGAGAAAGATTCACAATGATGAGTATAGACACACTAAGAAGATATCAAAATTTAACAACAATAAAAACCATTAAAATGAAAACTTTCTTTAATGAGTTAACATACAAATGAAAACTTTAATAACAAAATGACACGTCAACATTCAAAGAATCACGAAGGTAGTAAATTTCAGTATGAATAACCTCACTGTTTCGAGAACTAATTCCAATACCGACTATTATACAATCCATTTTCTCCCTTGGGACAAATTATGAGGTTTTTGAATCATTTTGACTAGTGCTGCTAATGTTTAAGAAGGATATTAGAGATAGAAGGACTGAATCACAAATGAATGAAGTTTATAAAATAAAAAATAGGATTTTCGGATAGGGATAGAAGGATATTGGTTTGTGATGATGAATGATGGAGATGATGTTATTTTAGAGTTTAATTTTTTCTTAGTATTTTTTGTTGTTGAGATTTTAACGAAGATGGTGATGAAGATGAAGAAGAAGAGGAAAGAAGATGAAAATGTGTAAAAAGTATTAGATGTTGATGATATACTGTTAGAATTAATAGACCATCAAGATTTAAATATGTGAAATTTGTTAAAATCATCATTAATCAATGACTAATATTAAAAAGTCAATAAAATTTATGGTAGACACTCAACAATATTGTCTTGGATAATATATTTAAAGTTAAAAGTTAACGGAAAGACTAAATTAGAATAAAATAGTGTTCGAGAAACTAACCAGTAACATTTATTAAATAAAATATTAAAGTAAAGTATTAAATTAAATTAGAGGATCAAAACTTGAATTAAACCTTATTATTTTAGTAATTCTATAAATATTAAAGAAATTTAATATGAATTTTGAAAAATAATACTTTAATTATAAGTATAAGTGAGTAAAGTAAATAATTGAATGTATGTTTATAATAATTGAATTACCGGTTAGAAATTTAAAAAATAAGAGATGTAAGTTAGTAAATAAAGTCTCAAGACCAAAAGTCAATTAAAAAAAAGAAAATACCAATGGAATCAAGGAGGACTTATGTGAATAGTCCAATCGTTTTAGAAAGAAAGAATAAATTTTGATTTTGATTTATAATTGTTAAAAGTTTCACATCGGACAACATATGACATAAACATATATTTATAAGTAGAGAGCAATTCTCACTCTACCAATCAATTTTGTAGAGTTGAGTTAGATCCAACCACATTTTTTAAGAGTAATAATTGTCCAAAAATTCTTTTCCATTTCATTAGTCATTTTTTTCCACATTAAAAATATTATTTTTCTTGTTTGATTAACTTTGTCACTTTGTTCTTATCTTTGTCACTTTAACTTTTATTTGTACGAAATCAATGCTAAAATGATTGAATGAATAATACAAATATTTTTCTATCAACTTTGTTTCTGTTTTAGGGTGATTTTTTTTATTTATTTAATTTTAAAATAAAATTTTAGAGTTGATTATCGTATTTTAATTTGTATATTTATTCATAAATTGTCAAATTGAAACGATTAGAAGGAGAGGAGTTAAATGGGCGGAAAATTATCAGTGTGGACTCAATAGCATGGAAAATCGTAAGATAAATTAGAAATTGCTCACGATGACTTCAAATATTGATTGAAAGTAAATCGGTCAAAATAAAAACTATTAAAATATTATTTAGAAATAAATCGGTCAAGATAAAAGCTCTTAAAATAGGTAAATTCTTAGGTACCCATAAATTTCAGTTGGGTACCACTACTTTTAGAGCAAATTGAAATAAAATTTTAATTTATTTTAAAATTAAAAAATAATATAACATTGAATCATGGTGTTTGATTGGTTAAGAGTATTAATACCCAATTAATTTTTTTTATGAATAATTAAATTAAAAGATACATGAGTATTCACCTTAAAATATTGCTTTATTAAAAATAAAGCGATTAAAATAAGAGTTTATTACCTACCCTATGTAAGTTGTGAGATGTTGGATCGAACTCTAGTGTTGTTGAAGCCTGTTGCAAGTAATGCGTGTTGTAGTCGAAGTTTGTTCTAACATGCATTAGTCAATATTGTTAGGTTTGTTAGCATGTTGAATTGGGTCTTGCTTGTAAGCCCAATTGTTTAAGTTAGCTTGTACCCTAAATTGGCTTGTAATGGGTAATTGTTAAAAAGTCCATTAGGTTAGTATGCTATTTTTCTTATAAATAGGATGCTAGTTTCTCAATCTTGGCATAAGGAAAAATAGGAAGATAAAGTCCTAATTTCAAGGGAGAGAGGTTATTTTGTTATTCTTGTATACTTGTAATCTTGTTATAAGAGGAAGGAAAGAATATCAGTTTAATAACCAATTCTTGTTGTTCCTTGTTGTTTTTACCTTGTTTTCTTTATTAACCCTAACCCTTATGAGTTTCTTGATCATTAAGAAACCGTTTATATTTTATTTGAAAGTATCCGATTCACAACATAAGTCATAAAATTTCTTACATAAAAGCATATAAGGCGTTGTTAGTATAATATCCTATTCTTGGAAAAGATAGAAATTTTAGTATAAATAACATTAGAAAATAAACTTATTACTTTTTATGCCGTTTGTTAAAGATTTCATTTTATATGGCATATCATTACAATTGTTTTAATGCGTGCCTCACTTGTTATTATGCATAATACAATAATACAATGTTTATGTGAAAGGTTAAAAGAAAATTTCAACTGATTCGATGACAGTAGTGATGTCTGAAAGAAAAAAAAGTGCATAACATACATAGCATATATTTGTGTTATAGGTGTAAAATGAGGCGGTTTTTTAAGTGATAAATAAAGTATGCCAAATGAAACAATGTGTTTTAAGTGTCAAATGAGTCATTTGAGACGATATCTGAATCATAATCTATAAGCATCTCATATTTTAGGTAATACTTGAAAGGAGAAAAAAGATATGTACAGCGAGTAATATCAGATATATTTTTCTTATTGATTTTCTGCTTAGTCAAAAATTGTTTCCTTGTATTTTTTCAAGTTGCATCATGAGCTTACATGTCTTGAATGAAGCACAGTAGAGATGACATACAACTCCGAATCAAAGAGTATAATAAGATAAAGAAAAAGTATAGTACTATATATGACAATAGTTCAAAAAATATTGCTGAAACCTGACAAGTTACCAGACCGGCTAAGTCAGTTGAAACCTTCAAACCATGAAGTCGACAGTTGTTTAAATATAACCGAAAACTTCTGGGCGGCGTTACAACAATCTTTCAACAGACTCTTTCTCCAACTTCATTCCCGGAATGCCAATAAAGCTATTACCAGGCTCTGGTTTCCGAACTCTCCTTTCTTGCATTGATCTTCTCTCGTTGCTCATTTCATTCCATTGACCCGCGCTTGCATACATGTTAGCAAGAAGAACATAATCACTGCTATGGTTTGGTTCCAATTCCAATAGATGCTTTCTTACCTTCTCACCAAGTTCAACATTTCCATAATTTCGACATGCAGCTAACAATGTCCTCCATATAATAGCATTGCACTCTACTGGCATGTTCTTTATCAATTCGTATGCTTCCACGACTAACCCAGCACGACCCAAAAGGTCCACCATGCACCCATAATGCTTTATTGTAGGTTGGATGTTATAGTCTCGATTCATAATATCAAAATACCGTCTTCCTTCATCAACCAATCCGCCGTGACTACAAGCACACAACACTCCCAAGAAAGTAACGTCATTCGGTCTCTCAACATTCTCTTGTAGCATTCTTGTAAAAAGCGATAAAGCCTCTTCTCCATTACCATGAGAAGCAAGGCCGAGAATCATGATATTCCACGAAACTAAGTTCTTCCTTTTCATGTTGCTAAATGTCTGATAGGCTTCTTCAACAGCACCACACTTTGCATACATGTCAACAAGGGCATTAAAGACCGATATACTTTCACCAAAATTAATAGTACTATCTCGTATGAACAAATGAATCTTCCTCCCAAAATCAAGTGCTCCTATTGCACCACAAGCTGAAAGGATGACTACCAAAGTTGCATCATCAGGTTGCAATTGCGTACCACAGTGGCGCAGCATTCTCGTGAACAAATCAAGAGCTTCATTGTAATTTCCACAATACACATGAGAGTGGATGATAGTATTCCATGCAACTAAATCCGGTTTACGCATTTCCTCGAACAAGTGGTGTGCAACTTGTATATCCTTCAACATACCATACATATGCATGAGAGAATTCCTAACATAAGTATGAGGTTGAAGACCAAACTTAAAGACAGTACAATGCAGTTGCTTCCCCAAGATAAGTAATTGTAATCTAGCAATAATTTTAAGCAAGAAAGAAAAGGTAAAATTATCAGGAAGCACATATTCTGTTGCAAGTTGCATTCTTTTGTAGAAATGAATAGCCTTTAGAGGTTGGGTGGAATTACCAAAACCCCTAATGATGGTATTCCAGAGAAATGCATCTGGTTTATGAATAGTGTGGAATACAGAAAGTGCGTAGTTCATGTCTCCATTATTGGATAGAGCAGAAAACATGATAATCTTTCCTGTGAGAATAAGGTTGTGATGAAAACCAGTTAGGATAATTCGAGCATGGATTTGTTTAAGATGGTTGCTAGTGGAACAATGGTTGAAAAGATTCATCACCCTTTGCTCAGCTTTCCAAAAGGCTGTGGATTTTGGACTCATAATTTCGATCTTTTTAAATATGCTTTTCTCGCATGTTATCATGTCCTAAATTATCCCTTTCTATTAATAAAATTTACACTTTGTATAAACAATTCATTAATTGGCAATTAATCTGATTTTGAATCAACCAAAACATCACATATGACTCAATCATATTTAGAATTTGTTTGATTTGGGATAGAGGGAGGAGATTGAATGGGAGGAGAGAAATTTTTAATTAAATATGTTTGATTTAAATTTTAGGAGGGAAAGAGATGGGAAAGGAGAGTAGCAAAGTCTCTCCAAAATATATTTTTTGTGTCACTTTTTTTATGAATCAAATATATTTTTAATTAAAATCGCTCTCTTCTCCTCCCCTCCCTTTTTCGAACCGAACAATTATCTGATTAAGAAAACCTCCCGTCTCCTCTCTTTTTCTCTTCTCTCCATTAAAATCTCTCTCCTCCCCTTCCCCTCGTTTGAACCAAACAAACCATCAGTCTTTCGGGCGTAAGTCCAGTGTTGATAAATAAGTATTTATGAGCCCTAATGCGGAAATTACGTTGAAGGTTTGATAAGAACATGTGTTTAATTATTTTAGAGGTTCGCTAAGAATCAATGTTGATTATGATATAGGTTTGATAAGAACCAATGTTTATTATGTTATAGGTTTGATTAGTTACAATGATCCACTATGTTATAGGTTCGACTAGAACTAATGTTTTAAATTTGGTTAGGAGGTTCAGATGAAAATTGCATTGCATTTGCTTGATCATCATGTTTCATGTATGGATCAAAGTAGATATCGTCTAGCAAGAATGTGTAGTACAATTGTATATCACATGTACTCATAAAAGTAGAGTTTAATAAAGGGTGTGATAGTGCGTTTGTAGCTCGCGTGTACTTCTAGACATTGCATGTCTGCGAACGTCTAGTAGAATGTTGTAGTACGAGACGTGGCTCATCTATCCTCTTAAACTATCAAGACTTGGAAAAATAAGCTATGAGTCTAGTGATGGTACCACGCGCATTGGAGTAGAGGACAAATACATCTCATAAAAATTCATCTATATGTTATATGTATACGTGTGAAATATGAATTGATGTTACATGTGAATCATGAAATGTTAATCGATGATATACGTATATATGTGAAAAGTGAATCAATGTTATGTATATATGTGAAATGTGACTTTGAGGTTATATGCTCATTGTAAAATTTTGAATGATGTCATATGCATGATGTGAAATATGAATTGGATGTTATATGCTTATTGTAAAATTCCAAATAATGTCGTATGTATATGGTGAAGGATTATGTGATGCTATATCTAACAACCCGTATAATATATATTTAGAATAATATCATACAAGTGTTATTATTTGGTATTGACACAATCATAAGTGTCTATTGACATCATTTACATACTTGACCAATTATACAAAACAAAATACAACATATGGTACAAGATATGGAAAGTGCCAAAAATAAAAATCTAAGGTCTAAGTACAATATTTGTCATTCTAAAAGATACAAAGTGGAAGATCACAATAAACTGCACCCCTTGAAACATCAATGCATAGCTCCTCGTGTATACTAAACCTGCAAACAAAATCTGAAAAGCAACAACAATGTTGGGGTGAAATGATAATCTTAGTGAGTTTCCCTATCCTATGGGTTCACTTGACTCTATGGAGTTCTAATCAAACCCTAACTCAAGTCAAAGGGGAAAATGACTTGAGTTCACAAAATTTGCAATGTATGAAAACATGTCACTCGAGTTCATCAACTTAAACAATTACTAGTTAGGAAATCGTACTGCATCTTTCCCCGACCAATCCTACGTCTAGGATTCTCGACATGGGTCACAGATCCTTATATCATACTTTGAATTTCTCGAGCACTTCAAATTCTTATATGAGACTCTAACCCATTTAGTTGTGTAACACCCTAACTTATTTTATTTATTTTTTATAATTTATTTATGTGTTATTGCGTAAATTTATGTGTTATCGGTGTTTTTGATGTGTTTGGATACCCTGTGGTAGGGGGTAATGACCTTAAAACTATAGACTCTAAGGATGAGAGGTGTATGACCAATTGATTAGAACTTGTGGTGTGTGAGAGTGAATAATTAAAATAATATTAGTAATATTAGTTGAATATTACTAATTTAAATAATTAGGGAATATTATTATTATTATTATTATTATTATTATTATTATTATTATTTAATTTGTGGAGTAGTAATAATAATAATAATAATAATAATAATAATAATAATAATAATAATAATAATAATAGAAAAAAAGGGAGTTGAGGGGAGTTGTTGTCGGATCGTGAAAACTGAGAAAAGTGAGAAAGAAGAGAAGAAAGGCTAGGGCTCAGGAGAAGAGAGAAGAGACTCCATTGTTGAGGAATAGGAAATAATCATAAGAACTCTAAGGTAAGGGTGAGGTTCTAACTATCTAAGGGTTAGTATGATGATAATTGTGGATAGATTCTCTTATGTAGGTTTTGTGTTTTTTTTCCCTTTTGTTCATACTTTTGATGGAATAATTTTGTGGGGTTTGGTTGTTTATGATGAATGTTGTATGTTGTTGTTAGAATTGTTGTAGTTAATGAAATTGTTGCATTGATGTTGTCATTGAATCAATTAATTTTGTTGCTTGATGCTGTTGGTTGTGATTGCGAGTCAAAGTCGAAACAAAGTCATGAGTAATTTTTTATGAAAAGGAGTTGGGGTTTGGGACTTTAGAAAAGTGATTTTTCGTGTTAAAACATGTTCCAAACGATTTATAAGAAAAATAAAGTTTTGGGAGGGTTCAAAAGTGATTTTTGTATGATAAGCTGCTGAAAAAATGATTCTGATTGCAGCATAATCGATTACCGTTTTGGGGGTAATCAATCACGTTGCCTAAAAAAATTGTATTTTGGCCTTTTTCGAAGGCGTAATTGATTACGGGTTTTGTGGTAATCGATTACGCTAGTTAAAAACTGCATCTTTGGCCTTTTTCGAAGGCGTAATCGGTTACGGGTTTTGTGGTAATAGATTAAGCCAGTGGCCAGTGGGCTGATAGGCTGATTACGCAGGCGTAACCGGTTACACTGCTATTTTGGTGAAATTTTCTAAAATTTATAATGTTTGTTTCTAGAGTTCGATTCGAGTGTCGTTCGAAGCGTCAGAAAGCTGACGTGACGAACTTTAATTTAAAAATATTTTCAGTGGCAAAAGTTGAATGATTTTGATGTTTGTTGATGTTGAACGCATTATTATCATTTTGTTATGGTGTGATATGATTTTAAATGCCTTGTGGATGTTTTCCATGTTGTATATCGTTGTTGTTGGATTGTATAGCATGTTGTTGTTGTTGCCCTGTAATGGCATGTTGCATTGTTTATATGGTCGTTTTTGTCATGCATTTCTTGTTTGCATGAGTTGTGAGATAAGTCGTGTGCCCGTGTGGGGTGTGAGCGTCTTATTCGGATTCTAATTGTGGAATTGTATCATTGTTGTTATTGTTGAGGTGATCGTGTGCCCATGTGGGGTGTGAGCGATCACGGCGAATCGTGTTCCATGTGGGGTGTTTGTGCATGAGAAATCTAATACTTGTTGTAACTGCATAGTTTTTATTTTCTAAATTTTGTTGTGTGCGTCATTTACCTCTAAGATTTATTTAAAAAACGAAGTGATATGTTATTTATTGACCTTAGTTTTAAGTAATGACTGAGGGATAAAATTTTATATTTTTACCTGTATCATTTTCACTACCTGTATTATTTTCGCTTGCCTGTATAATTTTTTCTGTATCATTTTCACTGCCAGTATTATTTTTGGTTGCCTGTGTAATTTTTCATGTATCATTTTTATTGGCCTGTATCATATCATTATAAATTTATTAACCTGTCTGGATCAATTTTTACACAAAAACTACAAAATATGCGACATAATTGAATTTTATCATATCATTTACATTGTCTTGATCATCAAAGTAGAATACACACACATACATATTTACATAAAACACCGTTTTGGGGGTAATCAATCACGTTGTCTAAAAAAATTGTATTTTGGCCTTTTTCGAAGGCGTAATCGATTACGGGTTTTGTGGTAATCGATTACGCTAGTTAAAAACTGCATCTTTGGCCTTTTTCGAAGGCGTAATCGGTTACGGGTTTTGTGGTAATCGATTAAGCCAGTGGCCAGTGGGCTGATAGGCTGATTACGCAGGCGTAACCGGTTACACTGCTATTTTGTTGAAATTTTCTAAAATTTATAATGTTTGTTTCTAGAGTTCGATTTGAGTGTCGTTCGAAGCGTCAGAAAGCTGACGTGACGAACTTTAATTTAAAAATATTTTCAGTGGCAAAAGTTGAATGATTTTGATGTTTGTTGACGTTGAACGCATTATTATCATTTTGTTATGGTGTGATATGATTTTAAATGCCTTGTGGATGTTTTCCATGTTGTATATCGTTGTTGTTGGATTGTATAGCATGTTGTTGTTGTTGCCCTGTAATGGCATGTTGCATTGTTTATATGGTCGTTTTTGTCATGCATTTCTTGTTTGCATGAGTTGTGAGATAAGTCGTGTGCCCGTGTGGGGTGTGAGCGTCTTATTCGGATTCTAATTGTGGAATTGTATCATTGTTGTTATTGTTGAGGTGATCGTGTGCCCATGTGGGGTGTGAGCGATCACGGCGATTCGTGTTCCATGTGGGGTGTTTGTGCATGAGAAATCTAATACTTGTTGTAACTGCATAGTTTTTATTTTCTAAATTTTGTTGTGTGCGTCATTTACCTCTAAGATTTATTTAAAAAACGAAGTGATATGTTATTTATTGACCTTAGTTTTAAGTAATGACTGAGGGATAAAATTTTATATTTTTACCTGTATCATTTTCACTACCTGTATTATTTTCGCTTGCCTGTATAATTTTTTCTGTATCATTTTCACTGCCAGTATTATTTTTGGTTGCCTGTGTAATTTTTCATGTATCATTTTTATTGGCCTGTATC